TGGGATGCAGAAGAGAAAGCATCCTTTCCCATTCAGCCTCCAGGCCACCGCCACGCCACGATCCGAGATGGGATGCAGAAGAGAAAGCATCCTTTCCCATTCAGCCTCCAGAAGACTCAGGTGCAGGCACAGCCGTGCCTGGGAGAGCTGGCCTCTCCCGCAGCCCAGCAACATGCGTTCCTTTCTCTGGCAAGTGGGCCTGCGGGGGACAGACCCTCAGGGCGGGGGGAGGCACCCAGTCCGAGGGAGTTCCCGGCCCCGCCAGAGCGAGAGGAGCCACCTACGCTTTGGACGGCCACGTTGCGGCAGTCGGGCTCCGTGGCCAGCAGAGGGCGCTGTGCTCCGCGGTGGCTGATCCTCCACGTGCCGCCAGGTCTGGGCTCACAAAGACCTGCAGGAGCGGGCACACGCCCAGCCCCGCATCCACCCTGCCCTGCAGCTGTGCCGAGGGGCTGCTCCCTCCGTGCATGTGACAGCCTGGCCAATCCCCCTCCGCTCGTGTCCCGGCTCCATGTGTGTAATCCGAGAGGCGCATGTGTGTCACACCCAAACACACATGCTCAGTCACACCCCTGGGACCCTCTGCTCCACCTGAAGATGGGACCAGGGAGCGCCTTGATTCCCCGCTAGGAGGCGTCCTACCCCTCCACTCCCCCTCTGCGCAGGGCTGCCAGGTCTTACCGGTAGAAAGGTAGACGCGGTGAAGAGATGGAGGACTGGGGGTGAAGGAGAAGATGGACAGAGGTTGGCTGTCTAAATGGGTGGACAGGAGGGTGGGCTGGAGCTGTGGTCGGCAAACTGCGGCTCGCGAGCCACACGCGGCTCTTTGGCCCCTTGAGTGTGGCTCTTCCACAACATACCACGGCCTGGGCGAGTCTATGTTGAAGAAGTGGTGTTAGAAGAAGTTTAAAAAATTGGGCTCTCAAGAGAAATTTCAATCGTTGTCCTGTTGATATTTGGCTCTGTTGACCAATGAGTTTGCTGACCACTGGGCTGCAGGTCAGCTCTCTTGGCCCCTCTCTGATCTCGGTTCCCTCTCCTGTCTGTGCAGACGCGATCAGACTGCCTCGCCTGTCAGGTTCTGTGGGGATTGGTGAGATGAGGCGAGGTGTCATGTGTTTAATGCCCCTCCTCTTCTCTCCTGATACCTTCCTCCTTCTTGCTGCCCCATCTCCCCCGAACCCTGGTCCTCCGTCAGAGCTCACACTCCCTTACTCATGTTCCTCCCTTCTCGGGGACCTGGGAGCCCAGAGACAGGCCTCTGGGAGGTTAAGCGCACACATTCCCCTGACAGCCAGCTGTGGGCAGCCAGGTGTGGGGCCTCGGCAAAAGGCCTCTGAGCATGAGTGACCTAGAGCCCAGGGCTGGCTGGAGCCGGAGCAAGCCCTGGCCAGTGCCCGCTGGCCTCGGAGGGTGACGGACCTTGTCCCAGGCCGAGCTGGGCCCCGGGAGGCTCTGCTCTGGGCGACCAGAACAAAGGCTGCCCCTGCTCTTCACGCCCGGCCTCCAGGGCCCAGGGCGGGGCCGGAGGGGACCCTTCCCTCGGCCCGGTCCTCACGCCGTCTCACCGGAGAGGGGAGGGGGTGGCGGCTCCAATGACCAACATCTCCTCGCTCAGAAACACCTCCCGGGAACTAGCACAGTGGCTCCTAATGACACGTGGGGAGGTGGGGGTTCTAATCTCCATTTCTTCCGGAGGGAAACTGAAGGCACGGGCGCCAGGCGCTGGTCCAAATGCTTCCGCCGTGTTCTCCTGTCACAGGCCTCGGCAGGCGGCTGTCCTGTGGTTCGGGGCCTGGTGTGCAGGCCCAGGGCTGAGGCTCGGAGACGTGGAGGGGCTGGAAGTGTCCGCCCCAGGGGAGGGAAGCAGAGACACCGGTGAGGGTGAGGTTCTCCGGAAAGGCCTGCAGGCAGAGCGCCCACGAGGCTCGGAGGACGCCACCCACGCTGCCCGCGCCTCATTCCCTGCGTGATTCCTGGAAGACTCCCCCGGGCCAGGGAGCACAGGAGCCTGTGCTGGGACCGCGGAGGCGGGAGATGGCGGAGCCCGAGTAGCCCCTGGCTTCGCTCAAGCCCAGCGTCTTCTTCATGCAGCTTGCCCTGCCTCCGCTGGGAAGGAAAACCAGCGAAATCTTCATGGAGGAATCAGACTGGAACAGTCTTTTGAAAAGAGACCAAGAGGAAGGGCGTTCCAAATTCACGGTCTCTCCAGGACTCCGGGGTGACCAGTGCGTCATACAGAAGCCAGGAGAGGGAGAAGCGCAAGCCACGGGTGAGACTGGGAGCCGCAGAGACTCCGCCGCCCCCTGCCCGGAGGGCCCTGATTCAGGGGGCAGGGGAGCGGGCGAGGGCACGGCAGCCACCGGAGCTGTGGCCGGAGGCGGGAGGGAGCACTGCCGGCCAGCGTGGCTGCCCGGGCGGGGCAGGAGGCCAGCGGGTCTGCTGGAAGAGTGGTTCTTGAGCGGAGTGGGGGAAGCTGAAGAGGGGGGCCGTGGGAGATGGGGAGATGGCCGCCCAGGGTGGCGTGAGGACTGCAGAACGGAGCAGTGGCCCCTGCTGAGGCCAGAAACCATGGGCTTGTCGTGGCAGCGGCCGGCACGGCTGGGCGAGCGTGTCCAGCGGCCCTCGGCAGCGCGGGGGGCGGGCAGAGGGTGTGAGAGAATGGGAATGGAGAGGAGCAGGTGGGGGGGGGGGGAGGAGAAAAGAGAGCCAGGACAGGGCCAGGGCATCTGGCTGGAGGAGGTAGGGTCAAGCCAGGACGGCTGGGAGGACAGAATGGGGGCTGGGGGGGGGGGGGAGGCAGTGTTACTGTGATTGAGATGGGGAGGTGGGTGGCCAGAGCCTGTGATCAGAGCCGAGGTATTTCCCTGGAAGAGTTCAGAGGGCCCGGGCCCAGGAGAAAGCAGGGACAAGACTAAGAACAGGCAGCTGGAAGGAAGCAGATGTGAAAGCCACCCGCCTCCAGGAGGTCAAGAAGCCGGTGAAGCCCTAGCTGGTTCGGCTCAGTGGATAGAGTGTCGGCCTTTGGACTGAAAGTCCCGGGTTCGATTCAGGCCAAGGGCACATGCCCAGGTTGCTGGCTCGATCACCAATGGACAGGAGGCAGCCGAGCCATGGTTCTCTCTGTCATCATGGATGTTTCTATCTCTCCCTCCCTCTCCCTTTCTCTCTGAAATCAATAAAAACATTTTTAAAAAGCTGGTGAAGCAGTGGGGCCACCCACTCCTCCTGCCTCTTCATCCCCTCAGACAGCCGATGAAGGCACAGACTCGGGAGAAGCAGAAGGGAAGCTTTTACTCGCTCATTCCTTCGACAGTTCCTCATTGAGCACCTACTATGCTCACGCCCTGTGCGGGGCACTGCCTGTAGGGATGAGCAAACCTTGGCTCCTGCCTCCCTCAGGAGCTTGCCGCCTCCCTGGAGACCCGCTAACACCATGGCCACAGCCTGTGGTGACTGTAGCGCACAGACTGTCCCGGTGTGGCGGGCACACACGGAGGGGCTCACCCAGGGAAGGGGCGGTGATGTGGGGTGATGGGGGGGTTACCAAGCAGAGGAGGTGGGAAGAGAAGAGAGAGCATCTTCCAAGGACAGACCAGCTCTGAGCGTTCTGGAGCCACGGGCCTTCTGATGAGGCCGGAGGGTAAAGTGCTGGGCGAGGCATGGAGAGAGGCGAGGAGGAGGAGGAGGAGGAGGGGGAGCGGATCCCGGGCCTGGAGGCCAGGCACGTGCACGCACGGGGCTCACAGGAGGGACGGAGCTTTGAAGTGCTCGGCAGAGGAGCAGCAGGACAGATCTGCATTTTAGAAAGATCACTGGGGCTGCGGTGTGGCTAATTGATTGGAGCAGACAGAACGGTTACAGGCAGCAGGGGTGCCGGAGGAGAGCTCAGGCAAGAAGCACGTAGGGCCCAGAAGCAGCAGGACGGAGGCCTTCGGTGGATGAGGAGAAGGGGGAGAGGGGGAGAAGGGTCAGGATGCTGCCCAGGTGCCTGCAACTGAGCGGGGTGGGGTGGGGGCAGGAGGGGTGTTCGGGGATGGGAGAGGAGGACCTCATTTCGGGAAAGGTTTCGTTTGGGGGGGCCTGAGTACAAGAGGGGGCATACGCTGGGCAGGTGGGTATGTCCAGGGGCGAGGCCCTGGCACCCAGAGGTGGTTATTTTAGCAGCTTGGCAGAGCCTTCTCAGGGAGGGAATGCCTTTGTTTGGGTCAGCACCTCGCTATACTGCAAAGGATGGAAGGGCAGAGCCTAGGGCTTGGGTGACTTTAGGGCGGCATAGCCACAAAACACAGCCACAAAAACGGCTCAGCTGCCCTGTGTGAGGCACAAGGGCATTGTTTTGTCCCCTGAGAAGCAGAGGGGGGTGGGGCGGGGGGTGTCTGAGGAATGAGAGGGAGGGAGGGAAGCAGAGAGACAGGGAAGTGGGTGTGACTCCAGTGGAAATTTCCGCGGGCAAGCAGCAGGGTGGCCACGGCCTGTGTGCCACCTGACCAGCTGTGGAATAGCATAAGCCGCCTTCCACCTGCCCCTCTGCGTCCCCACAGGCCACGTCCCTAGGAAACACTATTTACGCTGCTTCCCGTGACTTGGGTTTTAGGTGGGGATGGAGGAGAGAGCTTCCTTTCACATCTGGATTTATGGGGTACAGGTAGTGTGAGCCCATCTGGAGGCAGAGGGCTAGGAGAACAGGAGTCTCCCTGTCGTCCCCCCTCTGCACCCCCTCTTACCCTCTTACCCTCTTACCCCCCCCCCCCCAGAATGCACAGGACCCTCTGGGGCAGGCCTTGGGCTTGGGGATGCAGAGACCTCGCCCTATCCACACTGGCACCAGGGATGTGAGTGCCCTGGAGACCCAGCGCCTGTGCCCTCCCCCTGGGCTCTGCCCGCAGCACGCCAGGGCTGTCCAGCTTGGAAACCTCCCTGGAGGTTCCAGATCAGCGCCCCGAGACCGCCCCCCCCCCCCCCAGCTGTCAGGTGAGCTCCGGGTGGACAGGCATGTGAGCGCCGGCCCACCCTCCCACCCACCCCGACACACATAACCGGCCAGCGAGGAGCCCCAGGCGGGCCAGTGAGGCCCCAGAGCAGCCCGGACCGCAGACCAGGCGAGCAGAAGGCCCTGGAGCGGAGGGGGCCGCAGCCCACACGCAGCACCTGCAGGATGGAGCCAGGAGGCTGCGGCTGGGCCGGGAGGCTGGGGTGCCGGCTCTGGACGGCCATCAGCAAGGCGCTGTTCGCCGAGTTCCTGGCCACGGGGCTGTACGTGTTCTTCGGCGTGGGCTCGGCCATGCGCTGGCCCTCGGCGCTGCCCTCTGTGCTGCAGGTCGCCATCACCTTCAACCTGGCCACGGCCATGGTGGTGCAGGTGACCTGGAAGACCAGCGGGGCGCACGTCAACCCCGCCGTGACGCTGGCCTTCCTCGTGGGCTCCCAGATCTCCCTGCCCCGCGCCGTGGCCTACATGGCGGCCCAGCTGGCGGGGGCCATTGTGGGGGCCGCTCTGCTCTACGGGGTCACCCCGGGAGACATCCGAGAGACCCTGGCGGTCAACGTGGTAGGTGCGGGGAGGGGCACCTGAGGGCCAGGAGGGGGGAGGGCCCGGCTGAGGAGAGGGGCAGGGAGGTAACCACACAGGCACCTGCCTCACTCTTGCCGTGCTGGGCCCTGGGCCCCAGGGAATCAGACCGCGTGCGGCTTCAGTGCAGAGAGCAGGGGTGGGCCGTGGATTGAGGAACAGGTGGGAGCAGCCACACGAAGGGGCAGGAAGCGGAGAAGGGCCAGGCATCGGAGGCTGGGGAAGCCAGGGAGGGCTGGGGCTGCGGGTGACCCTGCATGCACTTCGTCTCCCTCCCCACGGCCCCCCAGCACCCTAAGGCCCGTTTCACCAACCTCCACCCAGTTCCCCTAGTCACCTCTGTTCCACCGACCTCCCCCAATCTCCTCCTTCCACTCCATGCAGGTCTCCACCCAATCAGCTCGCAAACATGCTCCCCAGCTTCTCTGAGCCTCCTCTTTCCCACCATCCTGAGCCCCAGCCACACCCTAAACCACTGGCCCCGACAGCCTCTGGGTGGGAAGGGTGGCACTGCTTCTGCAGAGAGCAAGTGGCCAGCGCTGACCCCAGCCCCCTGCGCAGTCCTGTCCTCCCGGCCTGGCAGGGTGAGATGTGACCCAGGAACGGGCGGGGCACCTCCCTGGGGGAGCCCCTCGGACCCCAGGGTAACCCTCTCGCCCAGGTGCAGAGCAGAGTCTCGGCGGGCCAGGCGGTGGCGGTGGAGCTGGTTCTGACCCTGCAGCTGGTGCTCTGTGTCTTTGCTTCCACCGACAGCCGGCAGACCGCGGCTTCCCCGGCCGCCATGATCGGGACCTCCGTGGCCCTGGGCCACCTCATCGGGGTAAGGGGCAGAGGGGCCGCGGGGGGCCCCGAGGGCCAGGGAACGTCCCTCCCTGCGCCCCTCATGCCTTGGGGGGTGGGGGGAGCCCCATACTCCGGGCCCAGGCTACGTGCTGCAGAGGCCACGGCTGGAGCCGCGTCTGAACCAAGGCAGCGGGGACCGTCCCCGCCCAGGCCTGCCTCAGCCCCTCACACCCTGACCCACAGCCACTCCGCAGGTCTACTTCACCGGCTGCTCCATGAACCCGGCCCGCTCCTTCGGTCCTGCTGTCATCGTCGGGAAGTTCGAAGTCCACTGGGTGAGACCCTCTGGGGCAGCCGTGGGGGGGGGGGCGTGAGGGCCCGGGCCTCACGGGGACAGGCAGGCAGTCGCCCTGCCACAGACCATCTTGCCCCCTGAGGGAGGTTTCCCTGAGCTCAGAAGGCCAGGGCTTGTTCTTCCTTTTGCTCTGGCTTCCATCGCCCAGGGTGCCCAGGGGACTGGCTAGAAATGGGCCAGGGCGGGAACCGCAGCCTCAAGTCCTGGCTGTTTCCTTGTTCACTGTCTCCAGCTGGACCAATTTCCAAACTTGGATAAAGAACAAGGCAAACAGAAATAGACACACACACACACCAGCAAAGATAGGAGCAGCCCTAGCCAGGGCTCCCGGCTGGTACAGGGGAGGTGAGAGCAGGGAGAAAGGAGTGGCGAGGAGGCTGGGCCGCCCGTGGGAGGCGAGATCCCCCCCACTTCGCGGGAGAGTTCTGGACAGGACTCCTGCTTCTCAAATCTGCCACTTTTCAGCAGCTCCAGGGCTCCTGGGAGACCACGCCAGCCCTGGGGAAGCAGTCAGGGGTCCCACAGCCCCCCCGCGATCCCGATGGCTCACGGCCCGTGCCCCTCTCTGCCTCCTCAGATCTTCTGGGTGGGACCCCTGACAGGGGCTGTCCTGGCGTCGCTGATCTACAACTTCATCCTGTTCCCCGACACCAAGACCCTGGCCCAGCGGCTGGCCATCCTCACAGGCACCTCGGAGATGGAGGAGGTGGACGGGGTGGAGCCCCAGAAGGACGAGCCCCCGTCCAGTCCAGGGGACACCAAGATGGAGAACATGTGTCAGATAGCGTAGCGCTCGGCCTCGCCTCAGGCTTTGGCGAGGCCTGTGCGTGGGCAGTGTGCCTCGTGTGAGCGGACTTCAGGTTTCCTGAGAGGAGGGGGGGGGGTGTAGGGGGGCTTGGCCTCTTGTCCTAACAGGTGGGGCAGGGGATACCAATCCCTCTCCCGGGCATCCGTTTCTAGATAGAATTCGGGGAGCAAATCTGTCCGGCTTCCTCCTCCATCTCCAGTGAACAGTGGAGGGAGGCAGGGGATTCACGCCTGCCCGCCCCCTCTCATCCAGCTGGACTCCAGACCCCCAGGTCTTGCGGGGGGGGGGGGGCAGACAGGGGAATTAGAGCCCAGGGAGCCAGTCTGCTTAAAGGGACCTCAGGGAACCCCAGCTTCTTACCCCACCCGCAGGGAGGAGAGGCCAGACTCCCCAGAAGACTCGAGACTCCTCAGAGGGATCTCTGCCCTTCGCTGTGGTTTGGGGGGAGCGGGGGGAGGAGGCTGTGGCCCCCCCCCAGACTGGGGGCTTCTTGAGGACAGAGATTACCTTCCCTTTAGATCTTCATCCCTCACTCTCCCCTTTCCCCCCTTCCCCAAATGCTCAGGAGAGAAGCCCGCCCTTGGGAAGAGCTGACATGGAGAGGAAGCTCCTCTCGGGCTGGCAGAGGGCGGGATACAGGCCAGGAAGGTTTGAGCCTGACGGGCCTTTCCCGGGACAAGCTCCTCCGGGGGTTTTCCTGCACCACCCCCCACCCCCATCCCATCGACAGGGACAGTTCTGAGAGGGGATGACTCCGGCCCAGCCCTCGGACCATGCCCTGGGCCACAGGAGCTGTCTCCGCCTCTTCTCAAATTTGCCAGGACTCCCGAACGCTGAGGACTAGTCCCAAGGATGGCAGGAACGGTGCGGGCACCAAGGTGTTCAGCTCCGTGCCTCTGAAGGACGGCCAGAGTCTCGGCTGGCTCGTTAGTATTTACACACTGCCACAAACCGATTCTGCCCGGGACCCGGGTCCTGCCTGGGCCTCCGCTTCCCCAGCGACCCAATGGGCACAGGCCTCCCCTAGAGACTGCCGTGAAAACAAGTAAGAAATTGGAAAATGTTTGGGGAAGTAAAAGTGTTAGAAAAACAAAGCCAATAAATGATGATTATTGCTGCTATTACAGTAATTATTGGGTTTGAATACAATTGCTGTTGATAATGGGAAGAAGGGAGACGGGGAGATGACTGGGAGGGAGAAACAGGGGAGGTTTTCTCTCACTCCATTTGCCTCCTTTCCTGCCGAGGCTGCGGACCTGGGAGCTGTGTATGTGTGGGGTGAGAATCTGCGGAGCTTTGCGAGAGGGCGGGGGTGCTGGGGGAGGGACCCTGGAATGAAGAGACAAGCCAATAAAAGTTAGTTCTTCTCATCTCTATGGCGCCCATCACCATGGCATTCTGAGATGTAGCAACCGAATCCATAAGATAGGCCTTTCCCTTTGGGTAGGCCTCCGAAGGGGCTGGGGTGGGGGAGAGAGGCTGCCAGTTTCCCAGGCTGGGTGACAAGGCCCAGCCTGTGACCAGGGCCAGAACAGTCCCGTCCTCGTGGCCACAGCAGCCCTGCCCAGGGTCCTGTGATGCTGTCAGTGTAGAGCACGGCTCCCCAGGCTGGGCTGCCCTCATCCGTCGTCACAAAAGCGCCCAGGGCTTCTGGTGCCTTTATGAGCAGGGTGGCCGGGCCTGTGTGTGTGTGTGTGTGTGTGTGTGTGTGTGTGTGGTGATTGGCTTGCTAAAGGTCACTTGGCTCAGAGTACCACAGCCCCTTAGGTCTCCCTAGTCCCAGCTTAGAATTTTCCAAAATCGTGCACCAGCGGGGCTCACACAGCCCCGGGACGGGAGGGAGCAGGAGCGGAAGGCTGAAGGGGGCTGGGGTGGAGCTCCTGCTTCAGGCCCGTAGGCTCCTGGACAAGTTACCTCCACATCCCAGAGCCCAGGACCCTCAATACTCAATAAAAGTCTGGTGGATGAATGACTGAAGGTGAGCAGCTGGGAGGGAGAGGAGGTGGTGATTGATCAAGAGGAGAATTCAGGAGCCTCAGCTGCACAGGAGCCGGCAGGGGTGGCTGGAAGAGGGCAAAGTCACACTTGAGTCCCACCCTTACTCCAGAGCCAGCTGTGTGACCTCTGTCCCAGGAACTCTAGGCCAAAAGGGTAAGCAAGGGGGACTGCCTGAGGGGAAAGCTGGGGGCTGCTTTCACAAACAGTCCTGTGAAGCTGTGACAGGGCGGGGGCCCAGCTTCCTGAGACGTGAGGAACTAGGTTACAGCCTGAAGAGCATCCCAAGTCAGACAGGAGAGAGGAACCAACGGTGAGCCCTCCTTCTCCGCAGCCTTTAATAGGACAGCCAGCCATCTGTCTGGCCGAGGGAAGGGCTGGCCTTCAGGGAGCCGAATCTCAGCGGGTCCGGCCAGTGGGCTCCCCGGCCGCAGCCCCCGGCCCCAGGTGGGAGTGGGGAGCACAGGGAGGACGAGACCCAGCCAGGCAGACCCTCGGCGCACTCCCTTCCTCCCATTCGTCAGGGGAAGTTTTTAATTAATGGTGTGTAATCTGATCTGGCCCTTCTCCCTGCTGAGCACTGCTTTCAATCAGCAGAGCCATCTGCAATTGCAATTCATAATTCTCCCCAAAGGGAGGGGGACTCCGGACGGGTGCCTTGGTGATTAATACAATTAGCCTTTTATGTTGATGATTGTCTTAGCAGGAGCAGATGATGCCGGCACAGAGCCCAGGCTGTCGCTTCCCCATTGGTTGGCAGGAAGCCCCTCTCCGCTTCCCACCCCACTGCTCCCTCGGGTGTAGAGGACAGGTCTGATCTGGAGCCGCACTGTGGGAAGGGGAAGGCCCCCTCAGGGGCCAGGTTCTGGGGCACATTTGAGCCCCTTGGGCTGAGGGGAGAGGAGGGGCAGGATGATGAGCCAGAGACTTTTTTTCCAAGGAAAATCATTTTGACCTAAAGGAGTCTGTACACCAAGGTTAAAAGAAAAGAACTACGTAAGCAGTCTAGAGGATGGAAGGGTTGAGTTTAGATACGGGCTCAGGCACTTACAGTTGCGTGTACCTGAACAAGTTTCTTATGGATCCCGAGCCTCGCTCTCCTCATCCGGAAAATGGAGTTTGTTCCTCCAGGCCCGGACGCACTGCGTGGGGCGTGCGTGTCCCGCAGGGTGCCCCGTGCCATCAGTGGTGGGTTTTACCCCTCGCAGTAGCTGCCATTCCCTCTGCCAGTCTGGCTGTGTCTCGTGTGGTGTGTAATGCAGCCCAGCTATCAGGAAAGAAGGCTTAGCCCAGGCTTAGCGTGAGCCTGTGAGTATGAGTGTGTCCGGGGAGAAGGATCCAGAGGAAAGAGGAGTCAAGAATCAAACCCGAGAAAGAACAGAGACATGAAGGGCTGCAGTGATGGCAGCTGGGGAGCCGGTTTGGGGAGATTCAGGGGATGGGGGTAAGAAAGCTGGGTGGGTATAAAGGGGTGAAAAGAAGCAGGGCTTGGAGCATCTGGGATTTCATATGGCAGCTAAGTAAACAAGAAAGGAGCAGTCACCAGAGTTGAGGGTTGAAGAGGCAGCATAGATCAAAATCTGTGATCTCAGATCTATAATGAGGTCAAGTGATCTGAAACAAGCTGACTGGTTTTTTTGTTTTGTTTTTTAAGAATATTTATTAATTTATAAAGAGAGGGGGAGAGAGAGAAACATCAATGTGAGAGCATATGGACTGGCTGCCTCCTGCACACCCCCTACTAGGGACCAAGCAAGCAACCCGGGCATGTGCCTAACCATGAATTGAACTGGCAACCTTTCAGCTACAGGACAACGCCCAACCAACTGAGCCACACTGGCCAGGGCCTGACTGGGGTTTTGATGGGAGATTCTGCTGGGTCAGGAGAGGGGAACGCCCCAGTCTCCCTGAGCCCCGGCCTGTTCTCCAAGACCTGAAGCAGCATGAGAAGAGGGCTGCTATCACAGGAGATGCTAACCTGCAGCCAGTGTCAGGCCGGCAGTGTCGTGGGGAAGACGAAGGGAAGAAGGGAGGGGTGACGTGAAGGGCTAATCAAGATGAAGCATCAGGCCAAGTTGTGGCCATTCTGGTGGCTGAGGCAGGGGGTCCACACAGCCAAGGTCTGTAATCATGTCCCAGGGAGGGGCAGCTTGGTTCGTGAAGGAGAACTGAGGGTGGGGAGCCCAACGGCACTAATTAATAGGCAGCAGCCGATGGCAGAAAAGAGGGAAATGAAAAACTGTTTGAGCTCTGATGAAGTCAGATAAAGGGGCAGTTGTTACAAGAGCTGATGGAGGAGGCCGGAGACAGAGGGAGGGACCAACAACTCCACCTGCCCCGCGTGGCAGGTCAAACAAGGCCAGTTGGGTGGGACAGAAGACTTTAGAGGCCGGACAGGGCTGGGGAGTCCAGTTGTAGAACCCGGGGCTGGAGGGCCTTCCTTAGCCTGGATACGCTCCAGGCCCTCTCTAGCTGCCTGTTCATCCTGAGACCCAGCTTGAACACATCACTTTCCAGGCTCTTCAGCCTCCAGCTCCCTCCCTCTGAGCACCCACAGCACCCAGCACCCACCTCCATCGTGGCTCCACACACATTACTTCAGTTACTTGAGCACCTCTCCTTAGCAACCAGGAAGACCTTCTTAAGCAAAATTATATTTTTAGTCTACTTCTCGTCTCAGGGAACAGTCTCCTTCACGCTGCCCTTCTCTCATCTTGGTCCCCGAACCATGGCCTTCCGGTGTCAGAGGAGAAAAGCCCTCCTAGGCGCTGTGGGACGGGAGCAAACTGGACAAAGGATGCAATACCCTCCCAACTCCCTGCCCCGCATCTGACCATCGAATCTCCTTTGTGCTGAAGCACCTGAACGTTTCTGTCCTACACTGTGATTCCAGAACTCCACCGACATGTCCTATTATTTTGGTCTTGGCCTCACTGGTTCACAGCAGCTTTTGCCCCCTTCCCTGACTCAGGGGTCCCAGGGAATGG